GTCACAAAGCTCATTGCTGCTCGTTGGCGGTTGCAGTCGGAGCGGAGTGTGAAATCCCTCCCGGGAAGTGAAATGAATGGGGATGCCTTTATAGGCTCATTCACTCTCTCCTTTGGCAGCAGAATCATGTTTGCGCTCCGCTCTGATAACACCGGCCAGTGTTTTCTCAAAGCTGTTCCAGGCAAACGGGGAGTTTTGGGATGGGGAGTCTGATTTTAGGCCCGCAGGGGTTTACGCCTTGGTGCCTGTGAGCTCTGTAACATCTTGCTTTGATAAGGCCTTCGGTTCTGCGTATTGGTTTTGTCTGTGGTGTGAAGGTGAATTTAAATTCTGGTGTCTGCTGGCCTCCTTCTGGTCTTGAGGTTCGGCAATGTGGTAAAGCTCCTGTAGGGGCGCCATCTCCCTCAGGGGTGTGGCAGGACAGGCTGTAAATCCCAGTCCTCGGCCCCCGCAGCTGCCCCCGTGCCCTGACACGCAGCTGGGCCTCCAGGAGACATGAACCCAAGCCTTTTCCACAAGCTCCTGTCTGGGGCCCTGGCAGCCGTGATGGATGAGGAGCATTTAAAATCTAGCCTGCTGGTGCCATTCGTTTTATACTGTCACCCCCACCTGGTGACGGCCCCCTCCCCAATAGAACTTTGGTAGTGTTTACCACCTTTCAAACCACACACTTGTGCGAGGCCCCCTGTTGGCCAGGAACTGTCACTACACCAGTGGCGGAAAACCCAGAAGTCGGGCCCGAGAAACATCTAACTGGCCCCTGTCCGTATGCAGAGATAATTAACTGTGGGCCAAAAAGACAATCCCTTCGCTTTCTCATATGTGAAAGTTTGAGGGAAAGTGTATTTCGCTTAATCCGTGTAATTAGTCACACCCCCTCGGATTTCAAGGTGTGATTAATGTTTCTTGTGAGTCAGGTCAGTGGTGGGGGGGGACGGGACGTTATCCTTCAAAAGCTGGTGTTGAGTAGCGGAATCATCAGCCAAGTGTAATTGTGCCGGGATGATAGCAGGTTTTTTTAATTTCGTTTTGTTGCAGCAAAATGTTTAAACTGTCTTTCACAGACAATTTAACCTCCTGAAGAAAGACAGACGGATTGAGATTAAATGTTTCTCTAAGTCCAAGGATGAAAAATAAACATGCCATGATGTGTTGGAAGAGTCCCGGTGAGGGGGGGGGGCAAGGGGCTGTGGGGGTGTTTATTTTCCACCCCGTAGTCCTGAGTGACAGTAAAACAAAACAAAGTCACGAAGAACAGTGTATCTGGTCCCTTCCCGTGTGGACAACTGTCGTCTGCGTGTGCACCACCTGTCCCCATGACAACAACCACTTACTGCACAGGAACCAACAGTCGCAGAGTCGTGACCAATAGTTTTGTCCTTCTTTGACATGAAAATCAACTTAGTCCCAAAAACCCCATTTCCACTGCATTTCAGCCCTGCCACAAAAGGACCTGCTGACATCATTTCAGTGATTCTCACCGTTAACACAGGTGATTGTGTTGATGAGGACAAGGCAGGAGATCACTCTGTCATGCTGATTCAGTTAGAATAGCAGACTGGATGCTTTAGAAGGAGAAAATCATTGTTCTTCCTCTGTTAACCATGGTTACCTGCAAGAAAACACATGCAGGCATCACTGCTTTGCACAAAAGGGGCTTCACAGGTAAGCATATTGCTGTTAGTAAGATTGCACCAAAATCAACCATTTACCGGATCATCAAGAACTTCAAGGAGAGAGGTTCAATTGTTGTGAAGAAGGCTTCGGGGCTCCCAAGAAAGTCCAGCAAGCGCCAGGAACGTCTCCTAAGGTTGATGAAGCTGCAGGAAGGTGAAGACTTTTGAAGGATGACCTGGTGTCAAGAAGGGCAGCAAAGAAGCCACTTCTCTCCAAGAAAAACATCAGGGACAGACTGATATTCTGCAAAAGGTACAGGGATTGGACTGCTGAGGACTGGGGTAAAGTCATTTTCTCTGATGGTTCCCCTTTTCTATTGGTTGGATCATCTGGAAAAAAGATTGTCTGGGGAAGAAAAGGTGAGCACTATCATCAGTCCGAGAGCAACTTCTCCCAATCATCCAAGAATAGTTTGGTGTCAAACAATGCCTTTTCCAGCATGATGGATGACCATGCCGTAAGGTAAAAGTTATATGTAAGTGGCTCGGGGAACAAAACATCAACATTTTGGGTCCATGGCCAGGAAACTCCCCAGACCTTAATCCCATTGAGAACTTGTGGTCAATCCTCAAGAGGCAGATGGACAAACAAAAACCTGCAAACTCTGACGAACTCCAAGATTGATTATGCAAGAATGGGCTGGAATCAGTCAAGATTTGGCCCAGAAGTTGATTGACAGCATGCAAATTGCAGAGTTCTTGAAAAAAGACATAAACTTAATGTAATTGTCAATAAAAGCCTTTGATACTTATGAAATGCTTGTAATTATACTTCAGTCTGACCTGTCCGCCGGTACGCCAGACATTCCCCTCCTCGCCGGCCCGTCCGCCGGTACGCCAGACATTCCCCTCCTCGCCGGCCCGTCCGCCGGTACGCCAGACTGTCCTCACCTCCCTGCTCTATCCACTGCTACGGTGGGCTTTCCCTTGTTCCTCCTGGACTTGGAGTGGCACGTCTCGACTCAGTCAGCTCATTCAGATATGAGACATGGCCTTTTCCCCCAGAGTACTCAGTTCAGATTTTAACGTCTCTCCAGGAAGCTTAATGCCTTAGTGGGGAAGTTACAGCAGAGCGAAAGCACTGATTTATACAGTGAGGCTGCATTCAGGTAGGTCAGGCATACAGCTCTCATACACCAAGTTACCTTTAACCCAGATCTCCACAGATAGCTTCTCACTTCCTCATTATTGTTTTTGATGATGTGGTTTCTGGCATCTGTGGAAAGCAGAGAAAAGTACTAATAGCATTTAAATGTTATGGACAGAGCCATGCTGCAAATAAAAGAATGGTTGGCCTCAGTGTTGCTCTGTGGGGGGGGGGGGCAGGTTTCTGAACTGTGTAGCAGTTACAGCGCCCCCTCTCTTCCCCCAAGGAAACTGCAGACACTCACCTCTGGGAGCGGACTTGGATAAGGTCAACCTTCTGTTCTGCTTTGTGCAATTCCCTGCTTTCTGTTTTGCTTGTCCACCTGCCTTTTCTCCTTGACTTCCCATCCAGTTTTAGTTTCCCGTTTCCTTCGGTAGGAATAGCCTGTATCAGTCCTCCAGCTTTCATCTGCACTCTTTTGTTTGCATTAAAAACATGTTTAATATTTAGCATATTAAAATATTTATATCAAATGGTTATATACACATCTATTGATGTAGATTTAAAGTGTAGTTTTACAGTTGAATTAACATGGAATGACATCTCAGGACCCGAACAGTGACATCTCAGGACCCGAACAGTGACATCTCAGGGGCCGAACAGTGACATCTCAGGGGCCGAACAGTGACATCTCAGGACCCGAACAGTGACATCTCAGAACCCGAACAGTGACATCTCAGGACCCGAACAGTGGGCTGAACAGTGACATCTCAGGGGCCGAACAGTGACATCTCAGGGGCCGAACAGTGACATCACTGCCAGCTCTGGGATTTGAACTTGCAAACTTCTGATTACAGGCACCGCCTCCGAACCCACTGAGCCCCACCCAGCCCTCCCCGATGAGGAATGTGTCAGAATTCATGCCCCGTGAATTCTCCACTTTAAAGAAGCGCGTGATGAAATGTTCTAATAAAATCCAGAACGGTGCCGGGAAAGGGAGCTACCCCTGCGTGTGGGACATTGCTGTCCCTGATCCAAGAGAGCAGCTGTCCGGGAAGCCACCCAGCGCACCCCGTCTGATCCGGCGTCCAGCTCCCCCCGGGCAGATACGCGCCCCCTCCCTGCACCTGCGTGCCTCCGTTGTGGGCGTTTTGCGTCAATGGTGCCAATTACGTCATGGGGCTGTGAGTCACATGTGCGTGACACTTTTAAAACGTGCTGACCAAATTTGGGGTTTCTCTGTTTACGTCCCGTTTCTAACCCGCCGACAATTGGCCATATTTCCTGCGGCTGTAAGATTTGCACTTTCTTCAGAGTCTGTTTATCTCACCCTGAATCTGTACCATAATCCAGGACAAATGGATTGAGTCAGCCTGTTGTGAATGCCAAGCCCAGTCCACTCAGATGCGAAAATGGATTTTTCAGCCTCGTATGCCAGAGTTCGTCAGCCCGGAGGGCTTTCCTCTTTCAACCTATGACGCTCTCCTGTCAGAGTGTGGAAATCTAACCTGGTTGGATTTTGATGACCGTGGACCCGCTTACCTTGTGCAAGAATTTCATGGACTAAGAGGTGAGCTGGTGATGCGTTTGACAGCTCAGCCGATTGATTGGCACGCCAGAATTGGTTCAGCCATTTTTTCAAATTTTTTTTCGAGATGTGATCAGAATATGTGAACATCAGGGGTCATTAAAAAAAGGCGTGGCTTAGAAATATATTTAATTTTTGATGATTTACCAGCCCTTGTCCCAAGCCCCCAGCAGCCCCAGGGGAGTACTGCCCGGAGACTGGCACTGTGCCATGGGCCAGGGGGGAGGGGAACCTCTGGCCCATGTAACGGAGGCGGGATTCGAACCCATTGGTGGTGTGAGGTGACAGTGCTGCCCTCTGCTGTCAGTGTGTTTGGTGGTAATGGAGCAGTTTGTACTAAGTGTAAAAACAGAAACGGCAGGTGTGTTGTAGTGAGATGTTTATAAGCTGAACAGGAAGGTCCTTAGTGAGAGGCCGCCTCTACACTCTACAGTTTGGCACGCCCACCTTCACAGGGTACTGTCTGGCTTTGCCATCCCATAAGGCTTTGCACTGGCACTCCCATGCTGTTCTGGCACTGGCCCGTGATGAACAAGCCTTAAATAACACACACTGGCAGATCCCGGGGAGAGGTGTGGGGGTCTGGTGTGAGCCCCCCCCCCATTCCCTGTGACCTACTGGCTGTTTCTCTCTCTCTCCCATCTCATAGAGGACTTGGACGACCTGCGCATGGAGGGGGTCACCGGCCTGGCGCCATCTGGTGGCAGGTTCAGTCAGGGCCGCGGCTCCTCCGGCTCAGAGCCCCAGGCAAAAGTGACCCTCAACATCTGTTCCAGGTGTGCGAGGTAAAGGCCTCCCTCCGTGTCTGCCTCTGCTCTGTGGGGGGTGGGCAGTGTCGGCGAGCTGGTCCTAGGACTCAAATGGAGCCTTCGCAGGAGGAGGTGGGCAGCTTTACGATGGAATCTGAGTTACTGGGGTGGGGGCAGCTTGAGGACGCTCGGGCCCGTCTGCGCTGTGCGGTTCAGATAAAACTCCCTCCTGAGAACATTCCAGAATGGCCTGCTTTCCCCAGCAGGCAAGCAGTGATAGGTTCACGTTATCTCCCCTTTTGTTTCCTGTCCTCCTGCGGGGGGGTGAAATGCGATGCCAGGGCCTGATAAGTGTTATCGCCGGGGTCGGATGGCTGATGTGTTCCCCCCGGGGCAGATGCTTGTGTCCGTGGCTCTACGTGCCGTCGGCATCCCTGCCACTCTGGCCTTGGGGACATTTTGGTCGTATCTGGACCTTCTCACACTCCAGGATGTCTTGAATCCCTGAGCCTCAGCCTGGGAGAGGTTCTCCCCCCATCACCCCCCCACACCACAGTCTGTGCTTGACCAGGAGGGCTGCACCGCATGTCACATGGCCTCCCCCCCCACATGGTTCCCAGCGGGCTGCAGCTGGCATTTTCCCTGCCCCCCCCTCACCCCATCTAGCCCGGATCCTCATGCACTCCGGGATCCCCACTTCCGTTCACAGTGGCGGCCCCAAAACACGGCCATCCCGACGACCTCCCCCAGTAAAGTTCAGGTCTGTGGCCATTGGGCTGCTTTTGCTGGTTCCCATGGGGGGGTGTGGGGGGGGCCAGAGGTGAGAACAGCTTGGAGAGGTGGGGGGACTCGGCTGACGGACGATTGCCCCCCATGGATGACCAGCTATTCTTTACAGCCCTGTGAAAACAGCCTGGAATACAAGGCGACCTGGTGTGCTCCATCACCCCCATTCACAGCGCCGCCCTCCTGGTCGGGTGCATCTGCCCACCGCACATCACCCTAACCACCACTTACACCATAACCCCCCCCCCTAGGGCGAGCTTCCTTTGACGGGGTCATTTCTGTGCTCCAGGCTTCAGGGAGACAGCCTGATCGCGAGGGACGGAGACGGGACCGGCGGCCTTCGCGTGCGCTTCGTCTCTCCAGCGTCCTGTGAGTGAAGCGCGGCCACATCACCCCATGTAGTGCCTCTTTCCAGAACCTTCCTGTTGGTATTCCCACACTGCTCAATTTTTACACACCTGCTTGATGGGATCATGTAATATTAGCCCAACTTGGAAGAAACAGAAACGAATGCTTGAGAAATGGCGTGATGGATGCTAACGGGAGTTTTTATCTCGGGTTTTTATTCTCTCTGAGCGACCTTGGCACTGTGGCTCAGGGCAGCTGTAACTGAGACCCGAGGTCCCGGGGGTGTGTTTGGGTCGGCGCAGGGAGAGTGGGTACGTGAGCGACAGGTTGGCTGAGTCTGTCCTCTGGAGCAGGTCCATCGCCTGGGGTCGGGATCCTCACGGAGGCTGAGGCGGAACCCGAGAGCGCCCCCCATGTGTCGGGCCCGGTAAGTCAGCCGCAGGAATCCCTGCTCACCCTCCCGGCTCATTACAGCAGCCCTGCGTCTGGCCGCTGATGCCCGTCATCAGACAGTGATCCCTCTGATCACGGAGGCTGGCTTCATGCATGGTGTACATGGTATCATTTATGAAGCAGAACGTTTTTGGCTGTAAAGGGCGAATGCTGCAGGATGTATGTCATATTTTTTTTTATCTTTATAGAGTTGAGACTCAGGGCAGCAGCATTAATGACATGCGGTGGCTCTGCGATGTTTAAAGAACTGCTGATCTCTGAAGGTGTCAGAAAAGCGACTTCAAACAAGGCCGACTAGGGCACAGACACACACACACACACACATAGACACACACACACAGATGCACACATGGGCACGCAGAGACGTGCATTCATACAGATACACACACACACACAGGCATGCCATAGGCGTGCAAACCCACACACAGACACACGCACACACACTTGTGGACACCCGTGCCACATTTTAATTATCACGCTGCAGTGCTGGTAAAGTCATTAAAGGCAGTTTTACAGCGTTTCTGCCCACTACAGACGCACGCGTGCACACCACATGGAGCCCGGCTTGCAGACGCCTGGCAGTGGCCCCCATGGGCCTCCCCCCGCCCTCCCGAGGGCGTGCCCGCCAGCACTCCTCCCCCCCCCAGCCCGGCCTTTGCCAAACTCGGGTATAAACAATAACATTTGCCCGCGTCTGGCCCACAAGCACCGTCTCACTCCCTGGAATCTGGTTTCAAACCCGCCTTTCCTGACACGGAGCCTGTAGCACAAACCCCATCAGTCCTGAATAACAGACGCATATGTCCCCCCTCCCCCATGTGAGATAACGCCGCCGTGCGTGAGCCCTGAGCCACTGCGACGGTCACATGCTCGTTCCTCACGTGTGGTTTGCGAGGCGCCACCAGCCTGTCTTTGAAAAGTGTTACTTTCAACAGGCTGTTAGGAGTCTGTTCCTGAAAAAGCAAATGGCAGCAAAACAAAATGTGAGCCTTTTAGGAACTGAGTCACTTCTTGGGACAAACGGTTCATCTGAAGTCACTGTGGGTGTTTGATTTGTGAGGTTCCCAGTGCTGATCCTGGACTGAGCGGAGATGCACACATTCACCATGTTTTTACTAGGGCGATGGGGTGATCAGCCCACCATGGGAGGTGTAGGTGGCTAGGCCACTGTGGGGGGTGCAGGCGGCCAGCCATTTATTGGGGTGTCGGCGGACAGCTTGCCATGGGGAGGGTATAGATGACCAGACCCCTGTGGGGGGGCTGTATATGGCCAGGCCTCCATGGAGGGTGTAGGTGATCAGCCTGCTGTGGGGGGTGTAGGCAGTCAGTCAGATGGAGGGAGGGGTGTAGGCGGTCAGCTGTTTGTTGCAGTGTAAAGAGCCAGTTCAGGTCAGGTGTAGCCAATGGGAGTTTTAGGCAGTCAGCCCCTGTAGAGGTGTAGGCGGTGGGAGGTGTAGGCTGTCGGCCTGTTGTAGAGGTGTAGGCAGTGGGAGGTGTTGTCAGTCAGCCCCATGTAGAGGTGTAGGCGGTGGGAGGTGTTGTCAGTCAGCCCCATGTAGAGGTGTAGGCG